GGACGATGTCGTCTTGACGGTAACCGGTGAGACGCTGGAAGAAGTGGAAATGTTGGCGGCTGAGGCGATAGATACGATTGGTAACTGGATGCAAGGAGCGAAGCTGCAGATAGCCCACCACAAAACAGAAGTGATGTTGGTCAGTAACTGCAAAGCAGTGCAGCGGGCAGAAATTACAGTTGGAGAGCACACCATTGCTTCGAAGCGCATGCTTAAGTATCTGGGAGTGATGATCGACGACCGGCTAAACTTTAATAGCCACATCGAATATGCTTGCGAGAAGGCGACGAAGGTCATCAACGCAATAGCCAGAATCATGCCGAACAATTCTGGTCCAAGCAGCAGCAAGAGACGTCTTCTGGCTAGTGTTTCCTCATCAATACTAAGGTACGGAGGTCCAGCCTGGATTGAAGCGCTGAAAACGAAGCAGAACCAAAGGAAATTGAGCAGTACGTTCCGGCTCATGGCCATGCGAGTCGTGAGTGCGTACAGAACCATTTCGATGGAGGCAGTATGCGTTATCGCCGGTATGATCCCAATCGGCATCACCTTGGCGGAGGACTACGAGTGCTATATGACGAGAGAAACCAGAGGAGTACGAAAAATGGTGAGAACGGAGTCGATAGCTAAGTGGCAGCAGGAGTGGGATGCAGCAGAGAACGGTAGATGGACACACAGGCTAATACCGACTCTTTCGACCTGGGTGAACAGGAAGCATGGAAAAGTCAACTTCCACTTGACGCAGTTCCTGTCTGGTCATGGCTGCTTCAGGAAGTACCTGCATCGGTTCGGACACACAACGTCACCCTTCTGTCCGGAGTGTGGGAATGTGGAAGAATCACCAGAGCACGTGGTCTTCGAATGTCCTAGATTTGATGATGTGCGAGAGGATATGCTCGCCCTTAGCACGGAGAATGTCGTCGAAGAAATGTGTCGAGAGGAGGGCACCTTTAACGCCGTCAGCAGAGCAGTAACGCAGATCATGTCAGCGCTGCAGCGAAAATGGCGGGAAGACCAACTAGAAAGTAGTAATGTGCTCACACAAGTGCGAACTGAAAGCCGAAGCCGGGAGAACTCTCCGTCAGAGTAGGCTGTATCCACCACCAGGGATAACCGAGTAGAACGTGACGCTGGGAGATAAATGGCTCACAAATTGGAGAGACGATCAGCGAACTGGAAGCGCCAATTAGCTGAGGTAAAAAAAAAAAAAAAAAAAAAAAAAAAAAACACGCACACACACGCACACACACACACACACACACACGCGCACACACACACACACACACACACACACACACACACACACACACACACACACACACACACACACACACACACACACACACACACACACACACAAACACACACACAAACACACACACACACACACACACACACACACGTTGATACGTTGTTCTTTAACCGTTATGTGCGTGATGAGGTGAGACCGTACTAATTTTAATTCAGGAAAAATGCTTATGTTTGCGATCAGGTTCTCTTCGAACTAAGATAATTTCTGTATGACTTGTGGTTTTGTTTGAAGAATAATATGCCTATATTCAAATTAGTCGTTGGCAAACCTCCCCCTCCCCTACCCTTGTGTTAAGCATTTTCTCACATGTATACCATCTACATTTTCATATAATTATACAGTCTAAAAATGTAGGTTCCCCTCCCCCATATTTGTCTGATTCACGTTTCAGCCTGGTGTATTGCTCTGCCACCACCTCGAACGTTCTTCCGACAATGTCCACGTCATCAGCAAAGTAAATGAATCGGTTGGATTTATTGATCGGGCCCCACATGTTAAAATCCGAACGTTTCATATCATCTCTAAGCGCAACATTGAATAGCAGGCAAGAAAGACCATCACCTCGTCGAAGTCCTTGATGATCTAAGAAAACACTTTGTACATGGTGTGTATTTTAGAACAATAATTTTTGCAAAAAAATAGTAAGAGGATGTATCCAAGACACGACCGTAGATTTGACGTAGGATTACGAAAGGTAGTTTTGATGGCACTATACTTTTGCTTATAGTAAATATTAAATTGATTTCTCAACTCGTTATCAGCGAAAAAGTTAGATAGGTTGAACTTCGGAAGCAGTTTGAGAGTTCTGTTTTTGCTCTGTCGGTGTCCATGTAGCCAATCCTGGACTTAGCTTTTAGTTAACTCTTTTATCAGTCATTTGTGGTCCTGAAAAGGACCGAAGGATTGAAAGCTTGGAATCCAGTTTAGAACAATGCTGTGGAATTATTTCCTCGAGTTCTTGGAGATGATAGCCGTACTCATCTCTTGCACCTGAATCGATTGGTGAACAGTTTGGTGACCACTTGATGGTTGAGGAATGCTGAGCTATTAAGGTGTTTTACTCACATAAGGCTGGCGAGCTGTATGTTGTTTGGAACCATGACACGCTTGGCATAGATGGCCCACAGCAGCTCACGACGAGCAACTGAAATCCGGTCAGTACTGATGCAACTTCATCCTCCTTCTTCGGCGAATGGATCGCTTAGTAGGCTGCAGCTCGCACTTGTGGGCAGCCTTTCTTCGTATACTGGAAAACAATCTACAACACAGGTACAGAAACCACTGCGGCTGCTGCTGATGATGTCCACTGGACACCACCACTGGATTGAATAAACACCGTTCGGTGAGACCGCCCAATTTTTAAATCTGTGTTAGGGAAAGCGTTTTCCGCTGTCAATTGGTGATAAGTTTCATTATTATAGCAACAGTAGCACATTCGTGTAATTTTCATTAGTGACCTTTAAAAAATTGATAAAATGTTCATTTTAGCAAATTTGTAGATGACAATCAAATCGATTGGCTTGTTTAGAATTAATATCCATCCGCTATTTATAGAGTTACAAGTGGTAAAAACCTGACCACTTTTCGTAACGCGGTCGATTTTGGTTTTTTTGAAATTGTTGCCGAAAGACGTAATCCTCCGTCAAGAAATAATCACGGATGAATCCATCACCATTTTAAAATAGACCTCTTAAGGCACGGTATTACACTGTATGAAAAATTCTGTGTAATTTTACACGACATTTCATGTAAATTTAGGCATAAATCGGTCACATGCTAGTAAACCATTTCCTTCTTTATGCCAATTATAGCTTAATATTACACGAGTGTAGATTTTACCGGATGTTTAAAATTAAGAACTTTTTTCTAGGTGCCAATCTAATGGAGGCGGTTTTGATTCTCGGTCCGGTCAAGAATATCTTCCGGGTTGTAAATCTTCTAGTTTTTAAGTCACGACATGGCTTTTGTCCCCTTAACAGGGACAGACCCCCTATTCTACGAGTCGTGTGACTCTCTGTCACAAGTAGAGGAACAAAAGTCACGTCGTGTAACGTGACTCTCTTTTTGTTTTGCACGAAGTGGATTTTGACACCTAACTAGGGACAGAGAATCACAAGCGTCCTAGACTAAGGGATTCATTTGACTCTAGGAACTAAGTTGAGAGTAGGCGTTAGCTCGTATAAGAGCGTCAAAGACAGAAAGAAAAAGAAGCAACGAATTATCAAATTTCCTTCAGCATATTTCAAATGACCAGAACCGAGAATATCGATATTTCACATTTTAGTACCGGTGTTTCGGTACCGGAAAATCACCCCGTTTTACCGGTAAAACTGGTACCGGTACTAACAGTACCATAACCCTATGCTGTTGCTTTAATATAACCTTTAACTGTACTGCATTGGATACAATTTAGGTAATTGGTTCAAATTGGCAGATCAAAAAAAAATCGATGAAGAGAATTGATCATCGCAGTAAACCGCTTATGATAATGATACCACAATAGATCATCACTGGTGTTAGTGGTTCAGTTCTTCAAGAAACAAGGTAGTAAATTTAGATAGCTACTGTAAATCCAAGAATGTGTGTGCTGAAAACTACTGCCAAAGCTTTCAGATTACGGCCCAAAAAGCGCCAACAAATATCAAAGGATTATTTTGTATCAGTGAGTGGTGCACTGCCGCTTATCACAAGTCGATCCCATTTGCGTGTCGCCAAAACTGATTTGTTCAATGGAAATTGTAGCTAATCACTTATATTTTCATAATACTGAATGAACTCAACAGCTTTGTTCTGGAAAAGGTTGGAAAAACAGCAAACTTAAAACGCGTTTAGCCAGCTTGCTGATTTGTCCATGGGACGGACTTGCCTGAGCGGCAGTGCATTACTAAGCAAAAAGCTTTTAGAAACCTTCTTCATTGATTTAAGCAACACGTATACAAAATCCTTTGCTACCTTTCTTAAACATTCATAACTCATACAATCCATACATTGTATCACAAAACTTCTGCAAATCCACAATCTCAAACATCCTCATTTACGCAATCCAGTTATTCCACCTTCTGAGTAATGTTAAAGCAAAAGAAATCGGGCAATTCCTCTCACCGGAACGAAAAGACGTTTTATAAACAGCGGCAAATTTCGATCCCAGTCCACCTTCACTGCGGACACACATATCCACACACCTTGTGCCAACTATTCGTCAAAATATAAAAATAAAAGCGAGAAAACACCAGGTGTTTGGAAGCGCGAAATTGCGAAACGGATGCTCCGATTTTTCCATCCACCACGTATCATCCTACCTTCATATGCCTGAAATTAGCTTGAGTCTACGTACCTACCAAACTGTAACGATGAAAATGAGGAAAACTGTTTTTACCAGGGAAAAACATGGTCAATTTACTGGAAAATTTATCCCATCTCGTCTCAGGGGGGGGTGCCAAATGTTGGGTGAGATTGAAACGCAGTCCAAGCACAGTCCAGAAAGAAGCAATCGATAATCTTACCTAGATCGCAGATATGTGCGTTGTAGAACGGGAATTTTAGCAAATAATCATCACCCCTGCCGCCCAGACGCTGGCTGTCATTGGTCGCAAAATTTACGATTCAACGGTTTAACGTTTGACTCATGGATTTTAGAAACGTGTATTACAAATGTGATTCCCATATGGATTGGAATTTACGAGGCGAGGATTGCTTGATTCGTTTTTAATTTCTAACAGAACTAGTGAACATCGTTCGAAAACAGATATACAACATCAGCTGCCTAGACATGCGCGAAGAGTAGTTAACATGGCAAACTTAGGCCCACAGTATCCGTGAAAGTCGTCCTTCTCAATGGACCAAACCATTCCGCCAGCCAAATTATGTTCGTGAATATAGTTGCACTGGAACAAGAATTGTCTTGACTATGTTGGAAACAAGAAACTACATTATTAATTACCTTGTATCCTATTGTTTCAATATCGTCATAACCGATCCATTGGTCGTCTATGACACCATATGGAATTTTCTGGTCATTGTCCCAATGACGAACCCAGTTTGCGCTTGAATATAGCGCGCAAATCTGGAATAGACGGTCATCATCAGTGAAAAAGTTCATCACTTCCATTAACGATCATACTTCATAATAAGCTAAAGATCCCGCTTCTTGAGTGTAAATTCCAGGAATTCCAGGACCACGTGCATCGGCGCGTAAGCCATAGTTCAACTTGTTTTCCAAAGTGAACGATCTTCCGTAAAAAGGGATTCCAAGATTGATCTTCGAAGCTGGTGCTCCCTGTTGCAACCAATACGACACGCTATGATGAACATTCAATAGTCTCTGGAAATCAGAAGCATCCGCTGGTCCAGTGTACAAAGGGGAGTTATGTCCTGTAAATGTGTTCCATCCACCGTTGAAATCATATGCCATCAGGTTTATATAGTCTAAATGTTGTGAAACTGCTGGTATATCATACGAGATCTCGGCTAAATTCTGTGCTGCTGCCAGAGCCCCTGTCAGTAACAATCCACTTGCTGCAAACACTCGCTTCATATCAGCGAGCAGTAAAACAAAATTCACCTTATCAATTTCCGGGTCTCCTCCACGCTGTCCAGGAAACTCCCAACCTATATCCATCCCATCAAAGCCATGTCGAAGACAAAAGTCACGTGCATCTACTGCAAAGATCTGTCTAAACGAAGAATCAGCTGCCACCGTAGAGAAAATCTCTGATCCTTGTCCGTACCCTCCGACGGCAGCCAGAGTTTTCAAGCTTGGATTTACATTCTTCAGCTCGTTGAACCGTCGTATGTTACCATGACCCCAGTTGTCTTCCAAATCCAACCAAGGGTCCAGCACAGCCACCGTTCCATTTTCGTACAACCCAAAGAATGCATATACCAGATGGGAGCACAGATGGGGATCGATGTCATCCACGTTGAACTCACCTCGCCCAGGTCGATATGTTGCCCAAGATGCGTAGTAACAGACAACGTGCTCTGAAATTTAAAAAAATATATATAAAACAGACTTTATTTTTATTTTGCGAAACACACTCTCTGAAAGAACTGTACAAAAAACTCCCAACAGGAAAATTACACACCAATTGATTTTAACAACCATTTCGGTGGATAATTGAGGGACGACTATCGAATTTGGAATAATTTCCATAAAACAACACTTCGGTCAATTAGTGCCAATCTGTATTGATAAGCGGAATTGGGTTGCACTTGTTCGAGATAAGCCGAAGGCAGTATAAATTTGATTATACATAAATCTAATGGCTGGTGGATAGGTCATAAATATCACTATTTCTCTTACAGTTTTCTCTTACAAAAACATTGTTCTTTTTTGTATTATATTGATTTAGTGGGAACTTCTAGTGAGATTTGCAAAATGTGACTTTTTATTGGCGTACAATAAGCAATACAATAAAACTTGCTCCAGAGATTAACTCACTTTTATCGACGTGTTGATTGGACTAGAATGATGATCCATGACCATGTGTAACAATGTGAAAAAGATTGCGCTCATAAACAGTTTATAGTGCCCAATGGAGTACCTACTTAGGAGCAGATGTCGCTAGTGAATACAAATTACGAGTCACTCATACTACACACTACACTCACGGTCACCAATAAAAAGCATGCAAAAATGTTTTGTTCATGGGGGCGACTCCGGCGTAGTGGTTAGCATCCATACCTCTCACGCCAGAGTCACGAGTTCAAATCTCACCCCCGGACAAGTCACGAATGACCCAAGAGTGTTAAAGTGACTATAATGAAAAAAAAAAAAAAGTTTTATTCATATCTCTATCTAAGTTAAATTTTTGTTCTCCTTTGGTAATTTTACAGATATTGAAGGAAACTTACTTCGTACATAAATGGCTCAATTTATTTTTCAGATTTTGTACCGTATGCGCGATAATTTTTGCACCATCGTACAAATAAGGTTCCCGTTTCACCTGTGCATACAATGCTTTGGTTTTCTTTGCATACACGTAACCTATAGCTCATGCTGTAGTAGGCTGTGTATAAAAGAAAATGATTTACTTAGTTTGACAGTTGCACCATGACGAAGTGGCAGCGTATTCGTGATTTGTCCCACGCGCAAATGTCGCTAAAATACATTTCAATCGCAGTGGGAGTGTCCCGGTGGACCGTCAAAAGGGTTTTAGACCGAGAAAAGAAAGGACAACTATCCGCGAAGGTGGCCACAGGTCGTGTGAGGTCAGCTCGGGTTCCGAGGGTTATCGCTGCTATCAAAAGGAAGATTCGAGCGAATCCAGTGCGTTCAATAAGGAAAATGGCAAAGGAACACGGGATCAGTGACTTTACGGCACGGAAGATCGTAAAGGAAGATTGCGGGGCGAAGTCGAGGGCACGGAAAAAAAAACTCACATGATTACCAACCGCATCCGGGAGCTACGAGTCGAACGATGCAAGAAAATCTTGAAACTTCGGTAAAAATCCGGTAATCCTGTTCATCGATCCCGTATCAAATTCCAGAACCAGCTCGTATATTAGTTCTCTTCCGGTAAAAGACGTGGCCGACGAGCACAAGAACGTGTATCTGACCAAGCATCCTGCTAGCGTTATGGTGTTTGGATTGGTGGCTTCCGATGGCAAAAAAATGGACCTGATGTTCATTCCAGGCGACAAGGTCAACACGGAGGTCTATATCGGGATTTTAAGTAAGTATGTTCTTCCGTGGATCAGAGAACAGTACGGTCTAATGCCAAATGTTGTATTTCAACATGATGGGGCTCCGTCCTTTTTGGTTTGTTTTTTCCGTCGATCTTGTTTTCCGTGCTGAGCACCAATGCTACCGACGTGCCAGGAAGGCAGCTCCCACACCTGGACCCTACCTATCGACCCATCAACTCATGAACCGGGGACCAACGGCTTTACTTCCCATCCAAAGGAAGGCGTGATCAGAGATGTTATGCCTCAGAACATCCCGGCGGCGCCGACTGGGATTGAACCCAGGCCTGCTGGGGTGAGATGGGGCTCCGTGCCACACCTCGAACCGCACTCAGAAGTGGTTGCAGGAACATCTTCCGTTCTGGGCGAAGGATATGTAGCCGCCATCCAACCCCGATCTTAATCCGCTGGATTACTCAATATGGCGCATCATGAAGGCCAAGGCCTGTTCTTAACGCCACCCGAGTACAGCAAGCCTCAGACAAACATTGACCCGTACCTGGAGATAAATGGATCCAGACTACATTATTAGAACCTGCCGTGCATTCCGGAAGCGTGTGGAAGCCGTAATTGCAGCAAGTGGAAACTCGATCGATGATTAACATAGTTTAAAACTCTGAGAAACATCTCCCCTTTGAATAATTAAAAAAACTCGAAAACGAAATTTTTGAGATTTTTTTTAATTTTAACATTGCTTAATGGTGCAAACATTATCACGCATACGGTATACTTAAGGTTCAATTGAAGTTACAATATTTTTTCACTGAATAATCATGACTGATTTGAAAGTGATGGTAAACCCCTTATAGGCCTTTTTAATGCAACGCCAATGTAGAGTGCGAAAGGCGAGTTCGAGAGGAAATGACAAGCAAACCGTTTGTTTACATCAGAATAAGGATTTTTCCCAACGTAAATTAAAACATTTTTCATCGAACGACTTGCAAATTTCCATCCCATCAGTAATTGTCTTATTTTACGATTCTGAACTAGTTTGCACCGTAACTATTCACACACAAGATCATAACCACTAAGGCACTATTCTAATTTTTCATTTATTTCAAATAAAATATTGCTGAACACCAGCAGGATCCTTACAAAAATGATACAGAATTAAATGTTTCAACGGTAGATCAAGTTTAAGAGCAACTCAGATGAATTAATTTATCGGGAAAGCAAGAGCATGAGCATGATTGATCACCAGAGATGCCAGATGTACAGACATGTCTGTGAATATACTGACTTTTATTTTTTTTCACATACATTTTTTCGTTACAGACTTTTTCGTTTTTTTCACAGATATTTACAGCCTTTTGTAATCAAGGAAAAATTTTAAAATTTTTTGATTATGCTGTTTTACGTATTTAGTCAAATTACATGTGTGATGCATTTTTCAACACGCATTAGAAATTCATGAGTTTTCAAATCCACTACACGAACGAGCTGTCACTATGACAGTGAGACGGTCATACTATAGCGGTCATAGTTATTGACCTGTGAATGTGCTACCATGTTGTATCCAAAGCGAAAATTTTCCATACGATTTGACGGTTTGTTTGGATACGTCAACTCACGTTGACCGGTCTATAACTTGACTGTCTATAGTCACTGTCACTGAAAAAGTGAATGAAACGGACAGTGTGCTTCCATCCTTTCGGTACACCTTGGTGTACGAGAAAGGCAAAAAGGTTGGTATCAGAAAATTGTTATATTAAGGGGAAGCTCACCGCTTCGAAAAAAATAATTACGTTTTGATTTTTCTAAAAATATTGAAAAAAAGTATCAAAAATCTAAAAAAATCACATTTTTTCTAATTTTTTAAAGAAAATTCACGTGCAAAAACATGTTTTATAAGTCATTATGGCATAAAGTTGGACTCAAAAAACCACAAAACAACAACTTTTCGGTTTTTCTGAGAGTCCAATTTTTTTTCATGATGGGATAGAAAAAATTTTTTTGCATATAATTTTTGACAAAAATCTAAGAAAAAAACTGATTTTCTTGGATTTTTGATAATTTTTCCCAATATTTTTAGAAAAATAAAAACGTACCAAAAATATTTTCTTATTTTTGGGCCGGTGAGCTTCCCCTTAAGCCAAGTTTTTCTCACCGAAGTGTGTAATTATTTAGCAAAATTTTATGAATATGTTGCTTGATATATTTTATTTTAAAACTGTATTTGTAAAATCGTGACAACAGTGTTAGTGTTTAGCGCCAATTCATCGTACTTGGTTTCGTTGTACAGTACTCTCCATTTCTCGATGATCTTTATTTCGATATTCCTTCCTTTCTGAAACGTTTCAGCAACGCTGATTCTGATTGAACAACACTTTTTGAGCACGAAGTGTTAAGAATCGTATTAATAAGCTAATAAATTGCTCTTTTGATTGTCGATTTCTCCATCTTTAGGTGGTGGAAAGTTAAATCTCTCACTAAGATGTGCTCGTTCCCCCGCTGCTGGCGTGCAAAAGGACCAGTACTTAGTAGCTAACGGATTTCCACACTACATGGAATATAAGATCAACTCAATTTACTTGTAGACTGAGTAAAACTTTCGAATATGACATAAATCGAAAAATTTACTCATTCTAGAAGTATACACTCAAAGAATAAATCACATATTCAATGGAAAATATTCATTAGAATTTCACATAACTTTCATGTGATATCATAATTGGGAATTGCACCACAAAATCACATGAACCTAATGTGTCAAATGAAATTTAAGTGATTTATCATATAGAATTTAGGTGATCACATGAATTTTATGTAAAATTCAGATAGATATCATTGGTTTTGTTAATGGAAAAATATTATATGCATCCCCAATGGAAACTAAATGAAAACTTTTTTCCGATTACTAATTTCATATGTACATCGAGATGTTACTCATATTAGAAAACAAATTCTTGTAAAAGTTCGGAAAGTTTACTTAGTGTATCAGTTAACTACTTTTTCAAGAATATGTGTGAACTAATCTCAACTTTGAGTCCACCTCATTTGCCGTGTGATCGAAATGTATCTTTTTATTATTGCCGTTACGTAAATGGATGCATTCCCAACTCCAATAAAGTTCAATTAGTTAAAAGCAGGTCTTTTATGCTCGAGCATGACTTTGGCTGACATTTCAAATTTTGCATCTATTGCATGACATCTATAGTCGCAATACTTATGTTCTGACGAAAAGTAATTTGATTTATCAAAAAGCAAAACCAATTCAACATATTGTAGACCAAGAATTGAAAAGGTACTATCAACTTTTATAAACAAAACTGTGATAGTTCTTTCTTAGCCAACCGAATGCAAATGAACAGCATCATCGGGTAGGTGAAACTTTCCCCAATTCGATGATTGTGTTGTTTTGCGTAGGCGAACCTTAAATCACAAGAAAAGGATTTCGAAGATTTGGTCGCTCAATTGGGGTTCCCCAAATTCTATCC